TGTGGTATAGAAACACAACAGGGTTTTTTCTCATCTGCTATAAAATTGTTAACACCTTGGTTACTCTCAGGGTTAGGTGGATAAGGTGAGAATCTATATAAAAGCACTTATTATCCAGAAATTCAATATGTGGTTATTATTTTTAAATGAATCCTGAGATTTTCTCCTGACATCATAGGACCATCATTTTTTTTTTTTAATCTAGAAAGTTACCTATATTTTGATGGAGTAAAATGAATTTTAGCTGAGAATTCAGAGAAAATGTGTTTTAAACTGTTAAAACTCATACATAGGTGAACAAAGTGTGCCTTACCTGTCATTAGCATACACACAAATGTTAGTAAATTGTTTCATTTCTATAATGTGTTCAGTTTTTAGCAAATTATTTCAGATTATAAACATTCTGCCCATCATTGCTGGTTTGCAATTTTTATGGTTCTGCGGTTTGTTCCAGAAACTAGTCTTACTAAATAAAAGGCAATGTTCTTTACAACTTTGTAAAGAATTTCACAACTTTTCAGAATCTCAAGTATATCATGTTTCTCTACGGAACCAAATTATTATGCTGGACACACATTTTCAGAACAAAATGAGGACAAGAAAAGATAATTTTTTAAAAAATGTGTTTTGCATAGAAGAACTGGGGTGCGTTCAGAGGTTCAAGAGGTGAGAGGATTCACCAGAGACAGTGGAAAGCAGAACAGACAGATTCACTGAAATATACTGCTGTGGGGAGCAGCGGACAAGACAGGAGAGGTCTGCTGCGCCATGTGAGTTAGCTCCCTGGCCAGGGATTGAACTCAGGCTGAAGTGGGCCACCAGGGAGGCCCCATGAGAAGACGATTTTTTTTTTTAAAAGATTTATTTATTTATTTATACAAGCACTGGGTACAGTCAGAAGCGCGGGAGGGTGAGAGAATTCACCAGAGCCAGAGCGGGCAGCAGAGCAGGCAGAAGGACCAAAGTACACTGCTGAGGGGAGCAGCGGGCGGCAGGAGAGGTCTGCGCGCCATGTGGGACCCTCCTCCGGTGGCCGGGGAGCAGCCGGGGATCAAACCGGTGCTGCAGAGGCTGCAGGCAGCTTCGCAACCCAGCGCTCAACTACTGCGCCACCAGGGAGGCCGGAGAAGACGATTTTTTTTAAAGGAAATATGCTCTTTAAAAATATGTAGTGCTCATTCATATTTCTGTAAATGTATATTTATCGTTTTTCTAACTAGTAATTACTATTATGCTTTTCCCAAATGTATTTATAAATTAAGAAAAAGTTGAAGGAATACTAAGATGTACCTGACTTCATTTTCAAGATGTTTTAGAAAGAGAAAAATATATCAGAATAATGTAAAGCATTTTTTAAAAACTCTGCTTCATCATTACCAAATTTAACTTTAAACTGAAATTATTTTAAAAATAATAATGAACTCTTCTTAAAAACTACTTTTTTTAAAAAAAGATTTATTTGTTTATGCATACAAGAACTGGGGTACAGGCCAGAGGTGCAAGGGGTGAGAGGATTTACCGGAGACAGAGTGGGGAGCAGAACAGGCAGATCAGCTGAAATACACTGCTGAAGGGAGCAGAGGGAGAGACTGGAGAGGTCTGCTGCGCCATTTGGGTAGCTCCCTGGCTGGCTGGGGATCGAACTCATGCTGCAGAGGCTTCGGATAGCTTCACAGTGCTATGCTTAACAAACCCTTGCACCAACAGGGAGACCCCTAAAAAAACTATGTTTAACCTTTCTCCATCAACTGTGTCCCTTCAGTCTTACTGGGATCAGAAGTAAAACAAAGTTATCCCAAGGAGCAAATTCTTTCAAGCTAATATTTAAGTAATTTTTTTGTTCTATATTAGAATATGTATTTGATTGTTTTACTTATGAAAATAGTGCTTTTTTACCCTCTTTTGATGGGTCTTTTCACATTACAAGAAGTTTGATTTGAAGTTACTCTCTAACCTTTACTGTTTGTTAGCCACTCTGGTTTAAAATATTTTTGTGGAGTATTGTCTCAATCAAAGGATTTGCAATATCAGTGCCTTTATTGGTTCATATCTCCTTTTAGTGCAGAAAATGAAAAGTTGTATTACCTAAATGTGTGTGTTGCACAAGGGGTGCATGCTTGCACATGCAAGCACACACCTGCACACAAACAGGTAATCTTGAGATAAGATAACCAAGTATTCCAGTTTGCCATTAGCACTGAAATAACCTATATTTTGGGAAACTCGTTAATCTTTGAAAACTGGGAGGACTGGTCACTTTAAATGTTGAGAACACCAAAAAATATTCACAGGGATTCTCAACATTTGTTGTAGTTCATTAAGTGAATTCTTTTATTTTTCAAATCTGACTTTTGCAAGGATCTTTGTTACAAGAGATTGAATGCCAGAATAACAAATGCTCAGTTGGTAAACTTAAGCTAAGAACATCACTAAATCACCAGCCTTTCTTTTTTCCCAGTATAGTAATATGCTTTTAGGAAATGAACAGAATATATTTAGAATATATTTATGTGTAAATATGAAACCATATAGTAAAACATAAAATACCAAACTGACATTTTCTCTATTTAATTTTCTTTTAAAAATGTTTCCCCAAATCCAAACCTGTATGTACTATATTAAATCGCTTTATCAGTTAATATTTGAAGAAGTCATGGCTGTGAAGTTTTTTAATAATTATTTTTGTGATTTTATAAGTTCATCTCCCAAAAATAACACAGGAAAATTAAAACTTAATATACATTTAGCCAAGTTCTGTGTTCCTCAGTTTTCAGACTACTACATAATTTGCTGCTCCTGTGTCAAACTCTTCTATGGATTAAGTTGACATTCCAAACTTTAATTTGCTTTAAATCCTGTGACCTTTTCAAACAAAAGTAGAACTGAAGTTTGATTGTTAATAGATGAACATATTAAGAAGGCATTAGTAAGAGAAGGATTATTCTTTCTCCTGCTAGATTACCAGGGTAAATTGTCTGTAACTTACAGGCTGGGATAAAATTTCCTTGTGATGAATATCTCAAGGAAAATTACATGCTCTTTTGGATTTTGAAAAGGAAGGCTTAGGTGTGGACCTCCAGCCAAAATCACAAAAGTGAAATTGTTATCTTCCTTATTTCAAAGAGAATAACAGATTGACATTGGGAAACTGGAAGCCAGTGAATATGGTGTAGAATTAGATTTTATAAGGTCTGGGACACTCTCCTTAGCACCAAGTGGTAATAAATTCATAACATTCATCCTTTGGATTAGCATGAATGGGGACCTGACTGGATTAAGAGGGTTGGAGACAGGAGTAGAGTTATCTTTTGGTTTAGGGGTAGCGTCATAAACGTTAATTACAATTATAGGACAAAATGTAATTTAGGAGGGAATTTTTTTTTAAGATTTTTTTTTTAAGATTTATTTATTTATGCACATAGGAACTGGGGTACAGGCCCAGAGATGTGGGGGGCGGTGAGAGGATTCACCAGAGACAGAGTGGGGAACAGAACAGGCAGACTGACTGAAATATACTGCTGAGGTGAGCAGCAGGCGAGACTGGAGAGGTCTGCGCCATGTGGGTTAGCTCCTTGACCTGCGATCAAACTTGTGCCGCAGTAGCTGGTGATAGCGGTGTCTTTAACCCCTGTGCCATCAGGGAGACCCCCAGTTTTGGAGGGAATTGTTAAGTTGCTCTGAATTTGCGAGAAGAAACAATATCATAAAGTGCCAGTAGTGATCAAATTTAGAAAATAGAAGAATTACCTCTAAGCTGATTAAAAATGTAGGTTTCTGTTCTGTGCCCACAAGGTATTTTGAGTCAGTAGGTTTGAAATGGGACTCAGCTACCCTTTTCACAAACATGACATGTAATTTTGATGTAAGTGGTTCACACATTTTTTGAAGTAATACTGCAGGTAGTTATTTCAAGGGGCAAAGTGTTTGTGTGAAGTAGGATAGTAGAGCTATGAAATTGGGGATTGTGTTGTGGCTCCAGTGTCCCAGGTAGTGAGCTAGGTATTCTACCATACATTATTTCATTTGATTTTTTGAATAAACAACAATTTATCTCTATTTTACAGATGAAGAAATTGAGCCTTAATTGAGGTAAATGACTTGGCTCAAAATTATATATTTCAAACTCCATTTCGGACTGAATATGGTAATCTTTATGCTGTACAGCATTGACTCTTAAGATCTAAAACTCTGGAACAGGGATAACGCTATAATAAAGCAGAAATATTATTTTGGCAAATGATTTCTCCCATGCTTTACAACTCTAAAGTTACACAAATATGGTTTTATAATTTTTTTTTGGTACTTGGAAACTAATTTTGAAAACTATTTGTTTATTCTGAAATTCATTTACTAGTCAATACCTCCTTTCTCTATTCTTATAAGCTGTACTGAGGTACTTAATCCTTTCATACTCCTTCCTTTACTCTGATAGCTGGCAAAGCTCCTTGTTTTAAGTGACTTCTTTCTTTGCTAGTGAAATGATCAACTTTTATATTCAGGAGAGGGAGAGTAGCTCTTTTAATTCTAAGGATTCACATTGCCATGACCTCAATGTTAAAAAACTATGATAGTCACCCTCCCAATAAAAAAGCCCAGAGTCACCTTATTGTTAAATCTAGGCCCAGGTTTAAAGTCACCAAACTATAGCCCCTCTCTAGCCCCCTATATCACAATATTCTCTAAGAGTCAAAGTTTGTCTGGCATCTGCCACTGACCTGTCAGTTTTTACGGCTTTAATTTGAAACCCCAGAGTGATCTGTGTCTTTGACTGTTTTAATTGGTTAACTTGTAAGATTTGACCTCTGATATTTGCTAACTTTTTATAGGGAGTTGTATTTGTAACGGAAGAAGAGAAGAATAAAAAATATTAGTTTTAAAAGTGGCCTATGTGACTGCTTTTCTAAAAAGGTATTTAATGCTCTTAGTACTTTGGCTTATCTCTTTGAAATAAAGCTAATGCACAGGATTGCCTTCACGTTGTCGTGCTCTTCCTTTCTTGATTGATAATTGCCTTGTCTTAGAGCCTAGAAATTGTTAATAATAGCTAAAACTACTTGGCTGCTCTATTAGAAGTTCCTTTTTTTATCAAGTGTTTCTCAAACATGTTTCTGCCTCACAAGGAGCCCCAGGTATTTATGAGGTAATAATGGAGTACCTAAGAGGCCTAATTTTGTGGACATATTATGGTAAAATATAATTTTGGGGTATTAACTTCCCAGCTTCTTTCTTTAAAAAAAATAACCCCATAAGAAGTCATTGTCTATCTTTGGACATCTCAATAATTTGCTATTATTTAAGCCAAGAAAGCTCTTTGGTTTGCTTTTATTCTAGGCTTACTGTTGATGTAACCTAAACATTCCCCAATCTTATCTCCTGCAGGTAGACTGGGTACAATGTGATGGTGGCTGTGATGAATGGTTTCATCAGATTTGTGTGGGTGTATCTCCAGAAATGGCTGAAAATGAAGATTACATCTGTATAAACTGTGCAAAGAAGCAGGGGCCAGATAGCCCAGGTCAAGCACCACCTCCTTCCTTCATAGTGAGCTACAAAATACCAGTGGAGGACCTTAAGGAGACCAGTTAGCAGATGCTGTGTTAGTTTGGGACGTGGGGGAAAATGGACCATATTTGAGACCTAGTCATCAAATAGAGTGGTTTAAATCCACTCGGAATATTGCTTCCAAAGACAAACGGCCTTCAGAGAAAGTCCTTTAGCTGACTTCCTCTTTGCATGGACTATGTGATCTACATTCTCTCTCAGCACATCTATGCAGAGGGTGTCTTCATTGGTATAGGCAGCCAACATTGTGGTTCATGTCTTCTCAGAGTATGATCTGCTACCTTAGGGCCAGACATTTGTGCTCTAGGGTGGCTGCTTGGCATTAATATGTTGGTTTGTTAGCAAGACATGTAGGATGTGTGGTTTATGGCCAGTTGATATTAGTTAGAGGTTTACAACCTAGGGGCAGTACCATTTGAAGGGGTTGATTGCTTGGATCTCCTTAGGATAGTTGGTGAAGAGTCAGTATCATTTTCCTTCCACTGTTACATGGGAACTAGGAGAGGAACAGGGCCCAAGTCACACCTGTTAGAACTCATAGGATAGTAGCACAGTCTGTAAACCTCAGCTACTTATGCTTGACTGTATCAAGAAGAAAACCCCAAATGAAGAGCAGACTACATTTTTTTCCTGAGTCCGAGAGAGGTAGATGTCATCTGACAAGTTTGGATTCTGAGAAGAGCTTTTCTTATTTCAAGGCAAGGAGCTTCAAGAAATCTTGCTGCCGTGGGTCTACATTTTAGAGAAGAGCAGGTGCAATGGATCCATGCTTCTGCAAATGAAAAGAAGACACATTAGAATGTTGTTATACTGAGCCACAGTGATGCATGCTTTTCGGGGAAATCTTCATTCGCAAGTATACCAGATACCACCAGGCTTCAGGCATGGCCATGAGCAAGACCAGCAAACAACAGCTATTTGCCTTGCAGCCCTGATCCCAATGTCTGCTGTTTCCAATACTGGCGATTTCCGATTGTGATCTACAGCAGCTGCTGTTGAATGACACCATGGCTTCATCGAGGATGTGGGGTTATAGTACCTCTGGGTGATGAAGTTGTTTTAGTAAATCCATTTTTAAAAAAGAAAAGAGGACTTGTTTTTACTTTTTTCTAAATGTCTCCAACTACTGACTGTTCTATAAATAGATTATTTTTCCTTTTTTAATATACATATATGAATATATAAATATATATTTACTGTTACCAGCAGCATATGAGAGTTTCAGTATCAAAAATCCATTTGGGCACTTGCATTTTCTTTTTTGCTGTTTAATAAATCCCATTCCTTCTTTGTAGTACAAGGAGTGGGACTTCCTTCTCCACCCTAGCCTGATCAGATCTTCCACAATATTTGTGTTCATATAATTGTATTTCCTTTGTGTGTGGGGATGTGTCTCTGTCTGTTGGAAATCTTGGTCTTACTATATCTGTGATGGCTACTTTATTTTGTATGTGAATGTTTGAAACTGTGGTGCTGTGTCATCTTTTTTCCTGTCTCTGTTCTTGTTGAGGTGTTAGGTAAACTGTATGGAAACTCTTTTAGGGGAGTCTTTTTTTTTTTCTAAGGACAAAGAAAAAAAAACCAAACAAACTGAAAATAGTGTTTTGTCTTCACTATATTGGTGTCCCTTTATTTTGGTTCAAAAATCTGTGGTTTGACTTAAATTTATCAGTTTTCCTTTTAAAGGGGGTTAGCAGGAGGGCCTAGAGATCGCTTATATTCTCCTCTTCCCTATATGCCCCAATCTCTCTTAAATGTCTTCTAGTAACTAGAAGTAAAATGTACTGTCCAGTTACAGTTAGAGTGGGTATGAGATTTAACTCAAAAGGCGCATCTTATTTAAAAAGCAAAAACTTTCCTGTAAAATCCAGTTTCTATAAATGCTTTCTCTGTGGTTCATACTACCTATTTTTTAGTCACTCTTCCTTAATATTTTATAGCTTTTTGAGTGTTTTGACCTGTTAAGAGGTTCATAAGCATTACTGTGCATGTGTCTCAAGATCTCAAATGTGTGTGTGGTTTAAGGTTCAGTGGATATTTCAAGGTAAACTAACCAAACCAGTTTCTTAAGTTTGTCTCTTCCTCTACCCCCTTGTGATAAAGATATTATGGCTTAAGAATTTCATCTAGTTAATGTTAAAAAAGAAAGCACAATATTTTTTGCCTTTTGGTCCTCTCTGTAAAAATAGTCTAAAACTTGTGGGTTAAAAATTGAATGCAATTTTAAATGATGGCTGTCTGCCTAGAATACATTCAGAAATTTTATTTTTCCCTCTTAGTCACCATTAACTACTCAACCATTTGTGGAGGGGCATGAGGATGCTGAAAAGGTGGTTGCTTCTTGGAGTATGGTGGATAGGTAGGGGTAGCCGTTTGGGAGTAATTTATGTCTTTAATTTGGTATTTGCCTGCTGGAGACCTGAGAGAAAAATGCAAGGCAGTCTGCAACTATGAATAACTTCCTGTTGAGATTTTTATCATTTTGAAATTTACATCACTTAATAATGTGGGATTTTCTGTATTTATTTGGAAGTCACAGGGGACCTGGTCTGATGCTTGACCACAGATTACCCAAGCTGAGAAGAGCAGATGAGAGAAGTTAGGAAAAATAACAAAAACCTACAATTTTGGAATTAATGAACTAAGATTTGCTGCTGTTCTTAAAACATTTTCAGTCAGAGGAAATTATGTACCATTTACTCAGTTCTTTAGTATTGTAACATTTTGTATTAAAACTTGATTTAAAATGTTTCTTTACACTTACAATCTCCTGAGTTGCAATTCTTCACCACTGATACTTTAACTTAAGTGTTAATTCTTTCAAATGTATTTCTTAAATACCTTCATTATAAACGATTTTGTCAAGGTTATATAGGAAGATATATGAAAATTGATAGGTCTTTGATACTCTCAAAAGGTAGCTCACTGGAACTATGCAAAACCCCCAAGTTTACAAAGTACAATTACAGCATTAGCTGGCTTTCTTTTAAGGGGATAGGGGACATCTATCTTCCACAAATGTTCATTTCATGATAGTTACTAAACAAAGCCATACTAAAATGTAGATGCTAGGCTCCCTTACTAGGCTGCTGGGAACCAGCTTTGTATTGCTGACTCAAATTTGTGCCTCAGTACAATTATAAATTACTGCATCTCATATTTTGAAGAGTTGAAAAGGCAAACTTTAAATCTGTGATTACCCACAATGTACTTTAATAATCAAAACCTAGCAAAGGCTAACGGACCTGAAAATTTAGAATATTTACCTGTGCTTCACTTTTGTTCTCTGCTTTTATCTTAAACAAGTGTCTTTGTTTTTCTTGATTTTTAGATTATGGATGCAATTGGTACACAAAAAGAAACACTTTGTCCATATTTTAATTCTGTAGTACATTGTGTGAATATCATGCTGTACTTAAAATAGGATGAAAGAAAAAACTGAGAAAACCCTTCTTTCAAAGTGTGCAGTTATTTACATTTTAAAGGAGAAAGTGACAATTTAGAATGGCATTTGAAAGTTGTGACTTGTGGAAAGAATAAATTAATTCCCACATAGAACCAGATTCAGTAAAAGATAACGTGAACTAGTTTCATATGTGTGTAGGAAATTGAATTTGCAGTGAGAACTTAAGTCTAAATCTCAAAAAACAGGCAATTGATTTGCCTTTTACCTTTTGATTTTTGTTTTTTAGTATATTATTTGGATATGTATGTATGTGCCAAGTGGTATTTACAGTATGAGGAGGAAGAAATGGATGTTAATGTAATTTGGAATCGTGTTCTTTTCGCCTGGATCATATCCAGTCACCACTATGCAACCAATGATTTGCACTGGGAAAGGATATGACTGGTTTTTAAAGATGTATCCTTGCTTATTCTTTTGCAATACTCCAAGACGTCTAAACAGGAATGTCTTTTGTAAACCTCAAGACCCCCTTATTGATTATCCCTTAACATATTTATTTACCTGTTAGTGACGCTTAAATATAATCGACCCTAATTTACCAGGGTTTTTGGTGGTGCCTTATGAAAAGTATAACTTGATTTGTTTTTTTGAGCATGTCTTGCGTTTTGTTTTTCTGAAAGAATATTAGATGTGGTTATTTGCATTACATCTAAAAAATAAAAAAAAAATTGTGTGTGTCCAGGTTCCCCCCTACTCCGTCATTTACATGGGTGGTAACTATATGGTAGCCAGCTAAAGGTGAATTTGGGGAATGAGTTGATGATCCTGAGAAATGCAAGCGTGTATATGAGAGCCTCTTTTAACTTGTACCAAAGAAGTTTCTAATACTGCGTTTGCTCTCCAACTATAAAAGAACAGGGCTCAAATACTTTAATTTGTGATGTGGTCACCCTACCTATACCTTTGCTGAGAATAGTGTTTCCAGAAAAGGTGACCTGAAAGAAGTGATAACTGGAGATCTCACATGCCTTTCTTTAAGCATCAGTTCAGTGGTGATCAGGCATTTCCATGCCTTTTTTTTTTTTTTTTAATAGAGGCATGTTTTATTTATTTATTTGTTTTGTTTATACATGCACTGGGTACAGTCAGAAGCGCGGGAGGGTGAGAGAATTCACCAGAGCCAGAGCGGGGAGCAGAGCAGGCAAAGACCGAAGCACACTGCTGAGGGGAGCAGCGGGTGGCAGGAGAGGTCTGCGCGCCATGTGGGACCCTCCTCAGGTGGCCGGGGAGCAGCCGGAGATCAAACCGGCGCCGCGGAGGTCGCCGGCAGCTTCGCAACCCAGCGCTCAACCACTGCGCCACCGGGGAGGCCCCCATTTCCATACCTTTTGATTCTTGATCAGTTTGTATCAGTGAGACCAAGGGAAATCAGGAAATACTTTTCCTTTGGATTCCTAATGCTAAGAACTACTTTGAACTGCAATTTACTTGAGAGAAGTAAATAGTGCTGCTTTTCCTCATTGCCAAGGTTACCAGCTCAGCAGGCACAAGGAACAAAACAATTCTGAAAATGTTAAGATTCTCCTTGCAGTGAAATTGGCCTCAAACTTGAAGTGTGTGACTGACTGTGTATGTTGGGAGGGAGAATTGGTGGGAAGAAGGAGAAAATAAATTTGGAAAAGAATCATTTTTTCATTATCAAAGAGAACTTGAATCTTACTGAGGTAACAGTTTACAACATTGTATAGGTTTCAGGTGTGCAGTTTTAAGAATTTTCTTGCCAACAAAGACACCTGAAATGACATTCTTTTAAATGAAGTATTTCATGGGGCCTTGGCATTGTGTTGGCATCAACTTGTACCAGTTGATTGAAGATCTGGAATCTATGGAGAGCTTAGCCTTTTCTGGAAAAGTCACATATGGTGCCCATAGAGAGTAGTACAATCAAATACCATAGTCTGGGAACAAGTGATTTTGTTTTTTCTTGACTCTTCACAGCTGTTGGCTCTCTACATTTCTAGAAGAAAGAGCATTCAGTATAGTAAAGTTCCATGAAATGTATTTACTAGGCAGTAAGTACTTGGAGTTAAGTTGGATATCTTGATTGAAAAATAAGCACCACAAGAATCCTTTAAATTGGTTCTGACTGATGAATCTTGGACCCTAATGAGTTGCCAGTGACAGGAATGAAGACAGGTTTTTCTGTTGTTTGAAAAAGCAAGTCCACAAACAAACACTTCAAAGCCTGGATGAAGACTTTAGGATTATAGAAGGTAAAGAACACTGGGTTTAGGAGTGAAATCTAGATTTTAGCTTGTGTTAATTACTTAGCTTTTTGGGGTCCTGGTATCCTGCCATGGGTGTGGGTTGGTGCATGTGGATACAGACATTCAAGTTAGAGCCTCAATCCTTGAGAGAAGTTAAGACATTTTTATTTAATTTTAATTTATATATATTTTACATCATTGTTCATTTTAAACGTTTGCTTCCCCCTGCCCTCACGTGTAGTCCCCATATTTTAAGGATATTTCTTAATAAAGTTTATGTAGAAGTTAAACGAGGAAGATGAGGCACTTAAAACATGTAATCCCTTAATAGAATAATGCGATTCAGTGTTGTTGAGGGAGAATACAGCCCATATTGAATATGTTCTATTTTTAGAAATGGTAAATATTGGCCACTAATGTCCATATTAGAGCTTACCCATAGTCTTCACTTGGGTGTAGATTTTGCAGAGTTCATCAGATGCCCAAGACTGGTGTCTCGCCATTCTACTTAGCTGAACTCTGGAAGTAAAGCAAGAGTATCGGGCACATTTTGATAGACTTAACTGTGCCTCCTCTTCCTCCAGAATTGGTACCTGGCCTTAGGCAAAGAACCCTTTCTAACCTAGGTTGCACTGTGCTGAACCAGTAACCCACCTGGGCGCTAGCAGCTTTAGTTCTCTTTCTAGTATAACCCTACCTTCCTCTCTACTTGGGAAAGCTTTGTTGAGACACAAATTACATCACTAATAATCTTGGAACCTAGAGTGACAATTCAAGCATATCTAGTCTTGTCAATGCCTAGTGCTTTTGTTTGTTTATAGAAACCACTTGAGAGTTCCAGTTAGAACACTGAGGCCAGTTTAATTCACTTTTCATCCCTGTAATTCATGGCTGCCATCTAAAGTACAAACCCATCCAATCATTCTGTCTCCTCATACTCTAATACTGTTAACTTGCTATACATTTTTTAAAAATGTATGCATACAAGAGCTGGGGTGTAGGCCAGAGGGTTGGGGGTAGGAGAGGTGAGAGGATTCACCAGAGACAGAGTGGGGAGCAGAGCAGGTGGATTGATGGAAATACACTGCTGAGGGAAGCAGCAGGCAAGCCAGGAGAGGTCTGCTGCGCCATGTGGGTCAGCTCCCTGGCCGGGGATCAAACTTGTGCTGCAGAGGCTGTGCTTAACCCCTTGCATCACCAGGGAGGCCCCTACTTAGGCCCTTTTTAATCTTCATTTTCTCCACATTCTCCCTCATTTAACATATAAACATGCTCAAGTCTCTCCTACGTTAATATTCTCCCTTGAACCCATCTCCCCTTCTTTGTAGCCAAGCTCTACTAGTTCTCTCCACTGTACTTTCAAATCACTCTATTGTAATCTGGAGTCTACCCTCAATGTTCCACTGAAATTACTCTGAGGTTGCTAACCCGTGTCATATTGCTAAGTCCAGTCAACACTTCAGATCCTGCTTGACCTCTGCAGCATTTGATACAATCCCTTTCAAAAACCTCATTGGTTTCTTGGTCACTACTACATCTGAATTTTTCTTCTCTCCAATTAGTCTTCTTTTCTGTTTATCCCCTTAAAATAGTTATCAGCTGCTCTTCTCTACATACCCTCTTTAGATGCCTTAGTCCACTTCTAGTTGCTTTTATTGAGGTATTTTGCACATCAAGTCACCTTTTTTCTGCTCTTCAATCAACTGGTAAACATTTCCACTTGTATTTGTTTTAGTCTTTTTAAACTTGTGTCGAAAACCAAAGTTCTTTCCCTCCCCCAAGCCAGTTCCTCTTCTCTGTTCCCTATCCAAAGGAATAACTAGTCGCCGAGCCACAATTCTGTGAACTGTCCTATATTCTTCTCTCTCCCTTCCCATATGCAATTTGGTGGTCACTAAAATCATTAGTCACCTCTTTAATCTACATCTCTTTCCACTGTCGTGCATCAATTCAAGCCTTCATCATTTTCCACCAGAATTCCTGTACTAGTCCATTCTGGTCGATTTCTAGTTTCTCTTCCAAGTTACTACCAGGAATTATCTAAAGAGTCAATCTATTCATTACATTGTCCTGTGGAACCTGCCCTATACCATTCTAAGTTCATCTGCTTCCAAATACATCCTTAGGCGCTGCTCTTCAGACGCAGATTTTTGTTTCCATAACACTAGCCAGGTTCGCCTTTAAGGAATTCTCTTATTCTTGAGATGAAGGCTTAAATGCTCCTCAGAGGCCCCTTCATTTTTTCACACAACTTGTTCTATTCCCTTATGGGACTTTGCAATGGATATATTTGTTTATAAATTCCATGAAGGCAGGGACCTTGTTTATATACAATAGCACAATACCCTACATATCCTAAAGTTGAGTAAATGAATGAATGCTGTTTTGTGCTGTTATTACTCCCTATGTATTCTTGTCTCTCTCAATTTATTCTTATGTTTGGACTGACCTGCCTTCATTTACCCTTTCTCCTTACTACCTCTTCATTCTTTAAAATTCAACTTATCCCCAAAATTCTTCCAAGAAATCCTTCAGATTACTTCTGTCCTTTCATAGAGCTCTGATAGCATTGAGGTTATACAGACTCCAGATCAGCAGGATCAGCATTATCTGGGAATTTGCTAGAAATGTGAAATCTTGGGCCCTGCTCCAGACACTGAGTCAGAAACTTGGGGTGGCGTTGACCACCTGTGTTTTAACAAAGCTTTCCAGGTGTTGTGACCCATGCTGAAGTTTGAGAGCCACTGGACTGTATTATAGTTGGTGCATTTATCTTTTCAGTATCTAGCATAACACCTACAACAGTAATCATAAAGGTCTTCTTTACAAGGAACTGCAATCCATCTTCCTGCAGCCTCATACACTGATCCTGATATGTAGAGGATACAACAAACTAGTCGAACCACCTGTAAGCATTATTTCTACTTCCCTACTCCTCCTCCTCAATTTTCTGGCTTAGTATTAATTCTTTGCTTTATCAAAACAAACTCCAACTTCATATCCAGAGCATCATTTCAGCTTTCAAATTCTAAAGGTGGAATTTGATGTCTGTGTAGTTATCCCAACAAGAGGGAGTTCAAAATGAATTAAGACTTGCTTTTCATTTGTATAGTTGGAGATGTACAAGGAAACCAAAGTTGATCTGAAGACTCTCTAAGAATACAGCCTGGGTAATATCAAAGTAATTTTATTTTTTTAAAGAGTTATTTGTGCATACAAGAGCTGGGGTACAGGCCAGAGATTTAGGGGTTAAGAGGATTCACCAGAGACAGAGTGGGGAACAGAACAGGCAGACTTAAATACACTGCTGAGGGGAGTAGCAGGGGAGACAGGAGAGGTCTGCTGCACCATGTGGGTTTCCCTCTGGCCGGGCGGGGATTGAACTCCTGCTGCAGAGGCTATGGATTGCTTTATAGTGCTGTGCTTAACCCCTTGTGCCACCAGGAAGGCCCTCAAAGTAATTTTGTAAAGTGGTTTCATATGACTGAATCAGTGGCTCTCAGTCCTGGGGCTCATTAGAATAATTTGGAGAATTTTAAAAAACCATCCTTTCTGCTCCCACCCCAGAGCAACTGAATCAGGATATCTGGGAATGGAGCCCAAACACTAATATTTTTTAAAAATGGCTTTATTAAGGTATGTATACAATTCATTTGTTTAATAAATGAGTCAATATTTTTAGTAAATTTACGGAGCAATCATCACCACAATCTAACTTTAGAATGTTCCATTGAAGCCTAGGTCTCCAAAAACAATGAGGTAGGTTTTTGTCCAAGATGTCCAAAGCAGGCTTTTCCCAATGCGTGCCATCTTGGAATGTGGACCTAAGGCCAACCAAGGCTTTGCAGGCTGCAAGGGAAACTGGTGCCATTTCTTTAAAGAATGAAGGCTACCCAGATTTAGGGTAATCTCCAGAAATAATCTTTTCATCCAACTCCTGTTTCTTATAGGGCAAACACTTAGAACATCTAGTTTTATCATGACTCACTCTCCTACTCATGTGAGACACCCCCCACCCTTTTCCTTGATGCCCCAGGCCACTATCACACTCATGAGCTCAAGAATATAAATCCTCAGTCTATCCCATTTACTCCAGAATTTACAATTATGTAAATTCTCTAGACATACCTAATATAATTTGTCCTTTTTCTTCTATTAATTTGTTTGATGCCTGAGAAGAGCTGGGAGGCACAGGAGGGTTTTTCTCTTATGCCCCTACACTATCACCCCAAAAGGAAAGCTCATGCCCATTCATTGTCACACTGTTTCCACTCCCCAGGCAGTGATGAATCTTATTTTTTTTTTTAATTTTTATGAACCCGTTTTTTTTAAGATTTATTTATGCATGCAAGAGTTGGGTTACAGGCCAGAGATGCAGGGGGTGAGAGGATTCACCAGAGAGTGGAGAACAGAACAGGCAGACTGACTGAAATACACTGCTGAGGGGAGCAGCAGGCAAGATAGGAGAGGTCTGCTTCCCCATGTGTGTTGCTCTCTCGCTGGCAAGGGAGCTGCAGATTGCTTCATAGTGTGGTGCTTAACCCCTTGCGCCACGAGGGAGGCTCATAAGCAATGACTTTTAAGAAACGTGTATAATGAGGATATTTCACATAGTTTCACATTTGTGCCTCCTACCTGTGGTGGTGTATGCAGTCATCACTAGTATGACAAGGTCATTCATTTCATAATGAAACTTAATAGACCATTCTATTCCCTTTATACCTCTACTATCATTCAAAATTGCTTCCCAATTTGTCCCCAAGCTATTTCAAAACATCTCTAGTCTGCTTTTTCCTCCCTTACCTCAAAAATTAATAGCTATAGAAATTATCTCAGGAGCAATCTTCCTGAGAAAATGTAGTCTCCAGAAATGACTGCAGCATGTTGTGTTGGTCCATCCATAAAGTTATTTTCCTTTAGGTATTTTTCATGTTAGTGTTTCTTTACTGGGTGTTTTGCTATCTCACTTCTTTGCCAAATACAGATTTTTGCTTATAAATTAATACTTCCAAAGCATTTTTTAAAAAGATTTATTTATTTATGCATGGGTACAGGCCAGAGATGCAGGGGGTGAGAGGATCCACCAGAGACAGAGTGGGGAACCAGACAGGCAGACTGACCGAACTACGCTGCTGAGGGGAGCAGCGGGTAAGTCAGGAGAGGTCTGCTGCGCCATGTGGGCTGCTCCCTGGTGGACCGGGAATCGAACTCAGTGCTGCAGAGGCTGCGGATTGCTTTATAGGGTGGTGCTTAACCCCGTGCGCCACCAGGGAGGCCCCAATACTTCCAAAGCTTTTTAAAAATGTTTTTAAAATGTCACACACAGGGAGTGACACATTTGTTTAAAAATACTAAAAAGAAGAAATAAATGAAAAGTCATCTTTCACTCAAAAATGACCACTATTAAGATTTAACCAAATTTGGGCCTCCCCTGGTGGCGCAGTGGTTGAGCACTGGGCTGCGAAGCTGCCTGCAGCCTCTGCAGCACCAGTTCAATCCCCGGCCACCGGCGAGGGTCCGACATGGCACGCAGACCTCTCCTGCCGCCCACTGCTCCCCTCAGCAGTGTACTTCGGTCCTTCTGCCTGTTCTGCTCCCCGCTCTGTCTCTGGTGGATCCTCTCACCCCCTGCATCTCTGGCCTGCACCCCAGCTCTTGTATGCATAAATAAATAAATCTTTTAAAAAAATTTAACCAAATTTACTTTCAGATAGCTATCTGTGTGTATTTCAGTATGCATTTATACAAATATGTATCCCTTTACCTAAATGAGGCCACACTTATCTTTACTTAAGTGAAACCATACTTTCTTATTCCTTTATAATTGGCTTCTTTTACTTAATAATAACACTTGTAAATGATGTAGATTTATATTCTTCGAAATGGCTATATAGTTTTGCATTAAATGGAATCTTGATTTTTCAGAGCTATGTATTGAAGATATTATTTCTTTATCTTGTGTTGCAAAATCTGACCACCTTGTTATTAGTTTTTTTAACCTTATATTTTTTCTCTGTAGAAGTTTTCAAATTTTATGGTGTAAACCTAGCCTACTTCATTTCATAATTCCTGTTTTTCCTGACATGCTTAGAATAACTTTCTCCTCTACAGAACAATAAAAATGCCTCTTTGATTTTGCTTAACACCTGTGTAGTTTTATCCTCTATACTAAATCTTCCTTCCATCTTGAATTAACTGGCACGAGGAATGCCTAGTTCCTATATTTAGTCTTCTCTTCACTACATTAGTTTCTAACAGCAAAATCACTCACTCTTCGGAGTACTTGAGCAGTTGCCTTGATTTTTGTTCACGTGTAAATCCAGTCACTCTCAAACTTCTCACATACAACCACAACTTTCTACATGAACACGTACGCAATATATGCAATAGATGCTGCAGCATCTATTGGTGGGTAACACAAACTTAGACTTAAAGCAACACCTATTTATTCCCTCACAATTTCTGTGGGTCAGCAGTCAGGGGGCATTTTCATGGGGTCCTCTGCCATGAAGATGATGTTCAAGATCATACTCTCATTTGAAGCTTGGTGGGAGAAGACTCCCAAACTCCTGTGGTGGTTGTAGCATTTAGTTTTCTTGTGGATTGTCAGGCTGAGAGCCTCAGTTTTTGCTTGACTGCCGACCAGAGTCCACCTCACTCCCTTTGCTCATGAACTTCCCTGATGTAGCCATTTGCTTCCTCAAAACCAGCAAGGGAGAGTCTCCTAGCAAGACAGATATCACAATCATCTATAGCTTAGTTGTGTTTACATAACCATGTACATCCTGTCACCTTTGGCACATTCTATTGATGAGAAGTAAGTCACAGGTCCTGCTCACATTCAAGGGCAGATCACAGAGGGGTAGTAACTACCGGGAGGCACTAGCCAGCGGGCGCTAGAAGAGTCTGCCACATCCAGTCATTGTGGGTCATATGCTGCATAAGATTAAGACTCAAGAGTGTGAGAAAAGAAGCTAACTTTCTGAGGCTTAGCAACGTTCACTCCATCAGTGCTTTCCAATTCAAGGTAGATTGAAGAAGGAAAGTGTAATGGTTTTGTTTTTCTAATGTTCATGAGGGAAAAAAGTAACTTTTTTTCACTTGGGCAATAATTTTAGAAGACTGCTGCCACTTGGGGTAATGATAATTGCTGTTCAGCCAATCCCCTTTTGCATTTAATAGAACAAGGTTTTTCTGCTTCTTAGAGAAACAGAAATCTCCAAATCTTGCAGTCTATTTCTCTGTTCTGAGTTTCTCTGCCCTACTGGTAGTTCTCATCTAAACTCACTCCAAATTATTCATATCCTTCCTAATCTATGCAAAGCATTCTTTTAATCTTTAAACTTCAGTTCTAGAAGAAGGAAGCAGATCTCCTGGACTTTTTTAATTCATAAAACTCACAGTGTGCATAATTAAAAGCCTTTGCAAATTTGTTTCCTCTCTTATTTTTTTTTTTTTCTTCTATAGCCTCGTGCTTTTAGGGGCCGTCAGGAAAAAAAATGCTGTATTTTCCATTCCTAATTTCCATTCACAGATATGAAAGTGTAAGGATTCCATCATTGAAATGACTCTTATCTTTTCCTGAGAGTTTCTATGTGTTGTTCTAGGGGTGGGTAAGCTGGGAGCTTAGTAAGTTGATTTGATAAGTGGTAAGGACAGAAGGCAAGAGAAGAAACTCAAAGCAAAATTCAGAGTTTTAAAGTGCCTCATCCCAAGTTTGTAAACTAATCAATAATAATTCCTTTCCAAGGTAATAGGTCTGTCTTCTCTGCTGGTAGGTGGTTCCTGTATATCCATTGCCCACAGTCTTAATTGGTAGTTTTGTAGCCTTGGATGGTTTGCTACTCTCTGAAGCTCAGTTTCTTACCTATGAAATAGTAATAATGCCCATCTTTCTGGGTTATGGATGGAGCCCAGAAGAGAGAGTGTCTGGGAAGGTGCCCAGCACAGTGCCAGAATGGCTCATCTTGGTGACTACCTGGAGCCAAGATCAGGTAGGGAGAATGGTTGATAAACAGGTAAACACTGTTTACTCTGGTTGCTGCTGCTTTGAGCCCAAATTTTTGGAGATTGAGGGAAACACTTTTTTTTTTTTTTTTTTTTTTTTTTTTTTTTTTTTTTATAGAGGCATGTTTTTTATTTATTTTGTTTTTTGTTCGTTTGTTTGTTTTGTTTATACATGCACTGGGTACAGTCAGAAGCACGGGAGGGTGGGAGAATTCACCAGAGCCAGAGCGGGGAGCAGAGCAGGCAGAAGGACCGAAGTACACTGCTGAGGGGAGCAGCGGGCGGCAGGAGAGGTCTGCGCGCCATGCGGGACCCTCCTCCGGTGGCCGGGAAGCAGCCGGGGATCGAACCGGCACCGCAGAGGCCGCGGGCAGCTTCGCAACCCAACGCTCAACCGCTGCGCCACCAGGGAGGCCCGAGGGAAACACTTTTAACACATTTAAATGTTACAAGTATCTGTTGAGTGCACTGGGTACTCCAAGGCTTCTGTTTATGTTCCAGAGATGGCACTGTGTTGTCCTCAAGAAGTTTTCAAATTTTCAAACACGTGGTGGTAGATCTGGACTGCAATCACTGACTATCTGAAATGGGTGGAAAAATTAACTCTTGGAATTCCTAGAGTTGCTGGGAGAATGAAGTGAGGGCAGAGCAAGCAGGGGGTACTGTGGAGACTGCTCTCTTTTTTAACAGTCTGAGGTCAGCTGTGAAAGACTCAGATGAAGTGAGATCTAGAAATGGTCCAGTCTTATCATCTTGTTTTACACACAAGAACTGATGTTTAGCAAGATGAAATGGACTGCCCAAGGTTATGTGGCTGATTAGGGTCATATCTTGGACTAGAACTTTGGAATCACATCTCCCAGGTTATCTTTTTTCCCATCACACTACAGCTTGTTCTTGCCTCAGTTTTCATTTATGCTTTTCTTTGTGCCTTTTTCAGCCACCTTGTAGGACTGTCTGGAAGGCCAACCCTCTATTTCAGTAGTCACTTCAGAATTCTTCTAATTTTCAGTTGGCTTGTGTGTTCCTCTGGTTCTTCAGTTGCTGAATTTCTGGAAAGATGCAAATGAAGACTTCAGTCAGCAATGTACAGCCATTGTTGAAGCAAACACAGCATTAGCCAGCCCACAGCAGGAACCATGGGAACGTTTTGGACACTCCGGCTTGACAGGGATGTTAAGAACCTGGAGAACATCCAGAGAGAGCAGTGAAAACCATGGGTGGGGTAAGAAATATGAACTTTTGGGAAAGATAAAAGGATTTGTGATTATTTATCTTGGAGAGGAAAAAGCTGAGGGTGACTTTTGAAAAGATTCCCAAATATATGACCAGTTGTACGACATCTTCCCTGAGGATAGGATGAGAAACAAGACAACAACAGCAAGGGATTTAGGCTACAGAGGTTTTGAATTTTAACTGCCTATTAAAGTCATCCAGGGAACTTACAAAACAATAACAGGACAACTCAATGTCTAAGCCACAGTTGAGAAAAATAAAATCAGAATCTTTAGGGTTGGGAGCAAAATATCAATTTTTAACATGTTTCTTGGGTGATTTTTTGGAGATTTTATTTTATTTTTGACATTTTTTCCCATAGATACACATGCTCCACTCCCCCTCCATCTCAGGTGATTTCGGTGGGCAGCCAAAGTTGAGAATCTAGGTTAGAGTGAAGAGAAAGCACCTTAGTTGCTAAGGATGGTGTGATTTCGAGGGGACACTGAGCAGGGTGTGTGATTTTCCTACTTGGAAATGGCTTAAGTATATAATAGACTCCTGCTTCTTGGAGTGCTTAGGATAGAGTCTTGTTTAGAGGTGTTGATGTGGTAGCCTTCTTGAGAAGCAGCCGTTCTCCATCTTGGTCATGCGCCTGGATGGATCATCTTTGTGAGAATGAGGATCTGTGTATATTGGGATCACCTTGTGAAGTTTTAAAAATGTAGAGCTAGCTGGACCCCCACCCCCAAGATACTTAATCAAAATCTCCTACAGTCTGGGGCCCAGACTATAAATTTACATAAAAGTCATATCTAGCATGATGTATAAACATAAATAATTAGATAGAGCAGCTATAACCTTATTGAGTTCTGCAGGTGACTCTGATGTAGTCTTGGGAATTACTTTCTAGGGTAGGGTCACACACTTCTGATTTCCTAGTTTGCTCATTAACATCTTCCCTGTGAAAGGCACTGCAGCATTAACCTTGCCTTGAAAAACACAAGCTGTCTACCCAGAAAGAAATGCACATTTGCCTCTAGTCTCCTTCCTCCAGTGTACACACTTACATGCTGAGAGGAAAACCTGGAACCAACCATTCAGCAAATATGCATAAAATACCTAGTATGTGCAACACTACTATATTCCTTGGGAATAGAAAAAAGAAAATTTTACTTTTCCTTAAGGAATTCACAAACTCCTGCATTGGAACTAGTTAGAGAATGACACGAGAGAAACTAACTGTAAAATTAAATGGTACCAACTGCCACAGAAATTCAGTTGAGAATGAGGTCAGCTAGGGCTGAAATGACTGGTGATAACTTCATGGAAATTGTGGGCTATGGGCAGGGTATTTAATAACCAGGATGACTGGAAAAGAGTGATCATAGGGGAGCATGCTAGGCAAGGCAGGAGCCAAGAGGGTTCTTTTGAGAACCCCAAAGGAAGAAATTTGGAGTGTAAAGGGAAGAAGAGTTGGCAGGGATGGATGGGGCCAGATTATCGTGTGCTTGACCGCTGTCCCTAAATTTAAATATTCTTAGTAAAGTAGCTAATCTAGGAACAGATTTAGTATAAAAGAAAGGTTAGCAGGGCCTCCCTGGTGGCGCAAGGGGTTAAGCACTGCACTATGAAGCTGTCCGCAGCCTCTGCAGCACGAGTTCGATCCCGGCCGGCCGGCGAGGGTCCCACATGACGCAGCAGACCTCTCCTGTCATGCCCACTGCTCCCCTCAGCAGTGTTATTTCGTCAGTCTGCCTGTTCTGCTCCCCGCCTGTCTCTGGTGAGTCCTCTCACCCCCCGCATCTCTGGCCTGTACCTCAGCTCTTATGTGCATAAATAAATATTTTTAAAATATTAAAAAAAAAGAAGGGTTAGCAACACATTAAGGAGGTCATCTTTTTATAATCCTGCCTTTCCTCATCAATACAATTTCCACCAAAACAGTTTCCTCCAGATTCCTGTATGCTTTGTGGTCTCAGATTCACAAAAGTATACATTTTTAATATTGTATTTTATTTTATATATTTTTACATCATTTTTCATTTTTGCACAATGTATGCATTTTCATCTTGGTTATAGTCCCCATACAATTCCCACCCACCTTATTTTGATCTCACTCCCTTCTTCTCACCCCATAGTGTGTCTCTGGTTTACAGTTGCTTGTTGATTTTGATTTTTACACAAAAGCATACATTTTAATCTTATGGAAGAACTGAGAGGGGAAATGGTTTGTTGATACCAACCTATTCTAGAAGGAGTATGAGTAAGAGGTAACAAGAGTGAGTTGGGACTGGGCTTAGTTTGAGGGACAGGGAAGGCAAGGGTGAGGGTGAAGACCTGTGCCACAGGCCTTGAGAGTAGACGGTGTCTTCCTCTGCTTAGAGTTACCTCCTTCCAGGATCTCATTTCCGTTCTCTGCATGTGTGTAGCTACAATGCTGAGAATGAAAGGGATAAGCCCTTGATAGCTAGACACTCATACTATCACTTGACTTGAGCCTGGTGTTCTCCTGTTGAATGTATAAACACTTTCACACATCATGATGTCTAGATGGAACAAACAAAAAGAAGGCCATTCTGTGATCATGTCAGAACAGACAAGAGCATAAACCTTGTCCAAATCACAACAAAGACTGAACATCTCCTATGCTAACAAGATGACTGTTGCTTCTTTACAAGTTCCAATGTTCAGCTTCCCTTTACTCTTCCTGCTTTCTAGATAAGATTCATTCAGAAAACCAATCATAAAATTGTCCCTGTTTCCTAATAGGATGCAATCCAGAGCAAAACTCTGCTTCCTGAACCCTCCGTAAAATCACCTAACACACTGGGTCCTCCCTAGTGGTGCGAAGGGGTTAAGCACAGCACTGTGAAGCTACCCGCAGCCTCTGCAGCACGAGTTGGAGCCCAGGCCAGGCAAGGAGCTACTCACATGGTGCAGCCGACCTCTCCTGTCTCGCCCGCTGCTCCCCTCAGCAGTGGATTTCAGTCAGTCTGCCTGTTCTGCTCCCCACTCTGTCGCTGGTGGATCCTCTCACCCCCCACACCTCTGGCCTGTACCCAGTTCTTGTATGCATTAATAAATAAATCTTTTTTTAAAAAATCACTTAACACAAATCCTTTCTAATGCCCTCTTACTGAGATTCGCCAAGGCACCCTGGCCTTATGTTCTCGCTGTTGCAGTGGGTAATAAGCCCAACTTGTCCAAGTGTAGGTGTGACCCTGTTGGGCTTTGGCTAAATGGTTATTGACATGGTCGCAGTTTGGGCCTTTTGTTTCCTTTTTGGGGGGAAACCAGGACAGAGGGGAGCTAATCTCCCTCTTGACCGGGAAGGGTCATTATCAGAGAGAGATGAGATGCTGTAGGCATCTCGAATCCCACATCAGTCAGCTAAGTGATACATGGGTGCATGAATGTATTTTCTTGCCCATTACAAATAAAGTCCTGGGTGGTGTTTAAAGATGTTCAGGATAAAAGATTCTCTAATGATTGAAATTGTTCTTTTTACATGTTGTCATTCAGCCTTAATCCTCCCAGCTATAGCGTCAGGGTGTGGGAGCTGTGCTGAGAATTTCCCATTCATTCAGCCCCATCCCTGTTAATCAGCCAAGAGCTTCCTGCTGAGACTAGTTCCATAAATCTGAAAATTCTCTATAGTCTGAAAATCAGAGAAGAAATCAAGGAAACTGATACAATTAGAAACGCATAATTAATTTTCTGGCATTAAAGAAAAAAGGTGTGAATTTTCCTCCATAATTTGGGAGAGCAGGGGCCTCCCCTGTGGAGCAGCAGGTTGAGCGCAGTGCTGTGAAGCCGTCTGCAACCTCTGTAGCACGAGTTCAATCCCCAGGCAGGGAGCTATCCACATGGCGTGGCAGACCTCTCCTGTTGCGCCTGCTGCTCCCCTCAGCAGTGCTTTTGGGCTGTCTGCCTGTTCTGCTCCCCACTCTGTCTCTGGTGAATCCTCTTACCCTCCTATGCCTCTGGCCTGTACCCCAGCTATTGTATAAATTAAAAAACAATAAAAAAAAATTGGGGAGGGCAGAGCAACAGGGGAAGATTATAGAACATCTTGTGTTAGGAAAGAGAGACTTCTAATGAGATATCTGAAATATTCTTCATGTCTGATGAAAGTGTCATTTTTCTTGTCATTTGCTTACACAACTCTTTCCTAAGAAAATTGTGTTAAATCCCACGGGGCAGTGCTAACCCAAATAAACAGTCTAGAGATAAGCTTGTCTTTCTCTTATCTCCCTCCACCCAGAGTTCAAGTATCAGCATGATAGTTATGAATCGTGAACTGCAGCCCTACAAGTTTAAATTCTGACTCTACGCTTTGTTTTCTTACCTCTGGGATGGTCATACTAGCCATCCTGCTTCATAGGCATGTTGAGAAGATAAAGTGAGATGATGTATGGATAGTGCTCGGCACAGCGTCTGGCACTTTGAAAGCGCTCAATAAAATTGGCAGTGGTGATGACTGATGTTATTCTTTTTAAGGTTTATTTATTTATGCATACAAGAACTGGGGTATAGGCCAGAGGTGCAGGGGGTGAGAGGATTCACCAGAGACAGAGTGGGGAACAGAACAAGTAGACTGAAATACACTGCTGAGGGGAGCAGCGGGTGAGACAGGACAGGTCTGCTGTGCCATGTACATCACCTCCCTGGCTGGCCGGGCAATTGAACTCGCGCTGCGGTGGCTGTGGGTAGATTCATAGTGCTGTGTCTTAAACCCCTTGCACCACTAAGGAGGCCCCTGACTGATGTTATTAATACCTTTTGTCACCCATTTGATTACTTTACAACCTTGCACTTATAGAATTTAGGAGAATTATCCTATCTGGTATCAAAGAAGCACAAGAGAAGAGTCCTTCAAGTTTTCAGTGTCCCTGTGATTCCTGTGTGTACTACCCCAGAGCTTTTCACAGCAAGGTCAAGTATGTGGACTTCAATCACTAGGAAGGAAATTATAAAACAAACAAACAAAAAATCAAGTTTAAAAAAAAAAAAAACTTTTTATTTGAAAGTAATTTTAGACTTCCAGAAAATTGCAAAAATTGTACAGAGAGTTTTCATAGATCCTTCCCTCAACTTCCCCTAATGTTAGCATCTTACAAAACCATTGTGCAACTGCCAGGTGGCATTTAACTACAAACCTTATTCATACCTCCCCAGTTGTTGCACTGGAGTCCCTTCTTCTATTCGCGCATTCTCTCTAGGATCCTACCCAGGATGCTGTGTTGCCTTTAGTTGTGATTTGTGAAAGGATTGGCGTGGTAAAGGGAAGGAGAGTCATGGGCCTCCCCGGTGGCGCAGCGGTTGAGCGCTGGGTTGCGAAGCTGCGCGCAGCCTCTGCAGCGCTGGTTCGATCCCGGCTGCTCCCCGGCCACCGGAGGAGGGTCCCGCATGGCGCGCAGACCTCTCCTGCCGCCCGCTGCTCCCCTCAGCAGTGTACTTCGGTCCTTCTGCCTGCTCTGCTCCCCGCTCTGGCTCTGGTGAATTCTCTCACCCTCCCGCGCTTCTGACTGTGCCCAGTGCTTGTATAAATAAATAAAATAAAATAAAATAAATCTTTAAAAAAAAAAAAAAAAGGAAGGAGAGTCAGGCTGAGTTTCTCACAGGCAGGAAACTTTATTGCATCCCTGGGTGAGGTTCACAGACTCAAAGTGGGGGGGGGGGGCAGTGAAGTCACGTGCATTGCCAGGGGGAGGCAGGCTTTCATAGGATTAGGAGAGGTCAGGTGGGAAACTGGGTTTGCACAGCAGGAAAAGGTTTATAGGGGAAAAGATTTGTAGGTTGGGAAGAGGTTTATTGTCTGATTTTCTCTAGGTGGGCTTCTGCATTCCTGCCCCCATGGTGGGCTTCCTGCCCCTGGTGGGCTTTTGATTCCTGCCCCCTGCATCGACCTTTCAGTTTGCTTTTAGTTTCTTGTACTCTGTCCCTGTCTTCGGTGACTTTGACTCTTTTGGAAAGTTGTGAACACTTATTTTGTCCAATATCCACCCAGTGCCTCAGTGTCTCCGGCTTTCTTGTAATTGAGCTGCATTTTTGGCAAGAACGTCACAGGAAAGGCTGTGTTGTTAGTACATCAACCCACATGGCTCATGGGATGGGTGTCGATACGTCTTATTGCTGGTGGTGATCTTGGGGGCTTGGTTAAGGTGGCTTCTCTCCTGTGAAGTTAATATCTTTCCCTCTGTAATCAGTAAATATCTTGGAGGAGATACTTTGAGAATTTAAACTATTCCTCCTCAAACTTTTACCCACTGATTTTATTTTTTTATTTTTTTTTATAGAGGCATATTTTATTTATTTTTTTGTTTGTTTGTTTGTTTATACAAGCACTGGGTACAGTCAGAAGCGTGGGAGGGCGTGAGAATTCAGCAGAGCCAGAGCGGGGAGCAGAGCAGGCAGAAGGACCGAAGCACACTGCTGAGGGGAGCAGCGGGCGGCAGGAGAGGTCTGCGTGCTATGTGGGACCCTCCTCCGGTGGCCGGGGAGCAGCCGGGGATCGAACCAGCGCTGCAGAGGCTGCGGGGCAGCTTCGCAACCCAGCGCTCAACCGCTGCACCACCAGGGAGGCCCTTGAGCAAGAACTCTTGAATGCCTGTTCTAGTATTACCTATGTCCAGGTTTCCTGCCCCTGCCCCCAGAAGACCAAAGGACAATGGTGACAAGAGGTAGACACAGAACAATTCCTGCCTGGTTTGTGTTAAACCCCAGAAAGGGAGTTGTGAGGGTCGATCATCTAGCAGGGTCCTCAAACTTCTTTATGAA